AATTAAATGGAAGTGCCACTTATTACAGAAATAACTCATTAACTGGGAAGAGGAACTGTGAGACCTTTAAAATGGGACCGGAAAGGGGGCTGAGCTATATACACCCTAGAGAAAACAACAATCCAAATATTGTGCTTACACACATTATGGAAGATTCAATAAACAACACAGAGAATCCTGCCTGGGAAGCACTGCCTGAACTCAGAGCAGCAGGAGGTGGCCCGGCCAAGGCTGGTTCCCAGTTTGTTGAGGATTCATGAGATGGAACTTGGCAATGCCTTGGACCAACCCCTCTCCGTCCCTTGAAGGATAACCTTGAACATCTAGGAGTGTAATGTAGAGTCTTTTAATGCACAATTCTTAATGGAGACTGGCGGGGTACCTGGGATCCTGGTTCTGGTGTAAGGAGAGTTGTGCTTGCATTTCACCCAGCCTCCGAGACGGGCTCCCAGGGACAGGCATGGAGAGAGCCTGACAGGGAGAGAAGCAAGGGTGGCCTGCAATGACACAGCTCCAGCAGCAGTCCCCTCCAAAGCAGAGCCATCCACTTCTTCAATCACTGCCCGTGACTACAGTTTCAGTACGGACCCATCCTAAGGACTGAGACCTCCGTGTCTGCCCAGGAAGCTTAGTGCTATCACACAGGGTTTTCTTGGCTGGCCAGGCTGTGCTAGGAATCTCTCAGGAAATGACAGCCTCCAGCTGACTGTCACAGGGCTCCACGCCAGCCACAGCCCTTCACCCCAGCTAGGAAAAAGACCACTGTGATGAGACTAGTACTGTCCATCAAGTCTTTTGTTGTTGATGGTCATGTTATTTTTAATTTTGTAACCTAAGGCCCAATGTGCCAGCCTAGTGGCTAAAGTCCTTGCGTTCCACGCACAGGGATCCCATATGGGCACCAGCTTGTATCCCGGCCTCCCCTCTTCCTATCCAGCTCCCTGCTTGTGGCCTGAGAAAGCAGTTGAGGATGGCCCAAAGCCTTGGGACCCTGCATCCACATGGGAGACCTGGAAGAGCTCCAGGCTCCTGGCTTCGGATCAGCTCAGCTCCAGTCGTTGTGGCCACTTGGGGAGTGAACCGGCAGACAGAAGATCTTCTCTATCTCTCCTCTTTTCTGTATATCTGACTTTCCAATAAAAATAAGTAAATTTTTTTTAAATTTGGTACAAGAAACAAAAAGCAATAGGTAGATACATATTTTTCCTGCTAAAAAGTCATTTATAGTAATGAAATATCACAAGATTTTGCATCCAGTAATTGAGTAAATCCTAGCACCAATGAACTGCTTTTCATATTTGAGATCTGGATCTATACCATACTTAAAGAACATATAATAAATAAAACCTGTTTTCCCATCCTTCATGCTGGGCATATTTAGATGTATGCACTTCACTGTCCTGAAAAGAAACCGACACTTACCACGCTTATTTTAAGCCTGTTTAATAACAGCGAGACCCACAGTCATGAACCTGGGCAAATGTGCTTTGCTCTACAATCCATGAAATGCATTTTCCCTGCAGATACTTCACAAACTACTTTAAAAATAAACACAACACACATACTTATTCACAGAAAATGTGCCTTTACAGCTTTAATAACATAATTATCATAAAAAGAGCATAAAGTGCAAAAAGCTCCATGTCCAAAGGCTTCGAATACCCCCAAAGCAATGGAAATTAAATGCTACCACAGCCAGCAGGCCAGCACCCCTATACAGCACACTCTATATCAAAGTATAAAATAGGCTTTATATCAGAAAACATGGTACATATTTTCTCTGATTACAAAGTGTGGTTATAAAATAATCTTATGTCTGGTTTAACATATATAGGGAAAGACACAGTTCTAACAATTAGTCCCATTTTTTCTTAAGTAGGAGAGTGATATGTAAAAATCCATAGAGAATCCCAACTGGCCAAGACATTTTTTGGACAGCTGGAACAACACCACACAGTCTAAGCCCTGGCTATCAAAGTTTCAAGTTCATCTGGTGATGAAAGGAACAGGGGTCCTGTCTGGGCAAGCATCATTCCCACTCATCCCCCGGGGGGTTCGTTGTCAGACCTGAAGGATGAGGATTCAGGCTCAGCCCCCAGCCTGGAGCCCCAGAATGACCCTACTGACTGGAAAGAAGCACAAGGAAACAGGCAGAGAAGTTTCTAGACCCCTGAGAAGTGTTATGAATGGTGCAGGTGGCAGTGTTTACAAAGCCTGTGTCGGTGACCACCAAGCCTTGATCCCCAACAGGACATCTTGGATCTGTAGTTAATGTTTTAGACACTCATCACTGGACAGGCTCCAAGTTGCTCTAAAGTGTAGCCCATTACCAGACGCATGTAAGCATTGCTTCCCCAAGTTCTTCAGAAGTTCACTAGAGGGCTTGCTAAATAAAAATAAAATCATAAAGGGAAAGGAATGCTTCTTTTTCTAATAGTCAACTATTAATCAAACACTGAACATCAGGAATGACCGAGAGGAGTTGGTGTGGTGGCACAAAGCTCTGAGCCACTGCCTACAACATTGACATTCATGAGCGCTAGCTCCAATCCCAGCTGCACCACTTCCACTCCAGTTCTCTGTTCATGCATGGGAGATCTGGCTAGAGTGATAGCCTCCTGGCTTTGGCCCGATGCAGCCCTAATTGCTGCATCCATTTGAAGAATGAACCAGCAGATGAAATATCGGTCTCCTCCTCTAACTATGCTTTCCAAATGAAAAAAAAAAATTAATGACATCTTTTTTAAAACCACTCACTGAAATGGTCCCTTGGTATCATTAGCGATTTCTTAAATCCTAAAACCACTTCCTGCTGGGTCCCAATCTTGGGCAAACTCTAACCTCAACAAAACCTGACAGGCTCGTTTTTCACTGACACAAACTCCTAAATGTTGACTCTACAAAGGGGAAAAAACATTTGTAATTGCGTATCAATTACTGAAATAAAATATTTTTTAAAATCTGAACACATCAAAGTCTGTGGAGTTACATTTCATAGCTACTTACCCTGACTCATCAACTCAAGTGCAGCAGTCTATCAAAAGTGGAATCCAGTTGATTAAGCCTTAGGGATGACTCGGGTCAGGCTAGCTTACAAAGGAAGATTCAGTAGTGACAGTCGGACTCCAGTGACAACTACTCAAAGGATCACTGCCCTAGTGTATTCTAAACCTGTTCTTCATGGGAAAAAAAAAAACATGCCTGGCATTATATTCCATTGAAGTCACAGGATAAACTGTCCATTTTAGAAGACAACACCTATTTACAAATACATCAACGGAGAAAAAACAATGAAATAAGAACACCCACTCAACTGCCAAAATATTCTCAGTGGTAAATTTGAGCAATAGGGCACAGTGCGGTACCCTAGCAGCTAAAGTCCTCACCTTGCATACACCAGGATCCCATATATACTCCAGTTCTAATCCTGGCAGTCTCACCTCCCATCCACCTCCCTGCCTGTGGCCTGGGAACGCAGTGGAGAACAGCCCAAGCTGTTGGACCCTGCAACCATGTAGGAGACCTGGAAGAAGTTCCTGGATCCTGGCTTCGGATTGGCGCAGCACCGGCCATTGCGGTCATTTGGGGAGTGAATCATCGGACAGAAAAACTTCCTCTCTGTCTCTCCTCCTCTCCATATATCTGATTTTCCAGTAATTTTTTTTAATCTTAAACAACAACAACAAAAAAAAACCTTGACCAACTGAAATGGGGTAATTTCTTGTTCATCCTTCAACTTTCCAGATGTTTCCCAATTTTCTCTCCAGAGAGTATGTAGTGCTTTTCACACAGATAGGAAATGTGCCATATACCCTACTCTTCTCTTGATTCATGCTAGCAAGGTATGATCAATTTGGTTCAAATGCAGTATGTTTCATCTTTCTGAAAATCTCTCCATTCCACATTTTTGTCTCAGCCCTCTTTAGAGCCAGTCTCTACAAGTGCATTTTGCTTTTTACAGGAACAGCATCCGGCTGATGACATGCCTCAGTGTTGTGCCTTGTGGAAGCTGGCTGGAAACAGCCCACAGAGTCAGAGCCCTCCCTGCCTTACTCCTCTGCCCATTCTTAGTATTTTCCCCCATTTCTGGGGACTGGAGGTGGGAGTGTCACACAGGTCCCCAAGCATTAAGTCCTTCCACAGATGAGAAGTGGCCCCTCTTTCACAAGATTCCTTGTTCCCCAGGAATCCTCGAGGCAAATTAAAGCTTGTACAAAAAAATCATCTCCTACCTCCTGCTTTCCTTTCTCTGTGCTTCCACACTAAGACAGCTGGGCTTAAAATACACAAAACCCCCTACTGTGGAGCAATTTTGTACAGCAAAAGGGTGAGATTAGAATTCACACTTAAGCAAGGGCCACCTGAAATGAGAATGTTCTTGTTTTTCCCCTTTAAGACATTCTGGACTTGGAACTTAGCAGCTGTTCCTTCCCACAAACCATTCTGAATCCTAGGAATACATGAAGTTCCATAAAGCATGATCAAAGATCATGTTTAAAATGCACCTCAAACTACAATAATGTGACATGTCTACTCGCTCCATACCAAATCTTGCCACCTTGGAAATCGCCAAGTTCTTCATTTGCATCTCTGCTGCCACATATGTTACCAAATCTAACCTTAAAATAACTTTAAGTTACTAACATACAGACTTATGTCACACCTTGGGTTCTGGAGAGATTCCTTATGACAAACACAGTTCTGCTGCTAAAGGAATATGAAAACCACCAAAGAAGAATAAGGTCATTCCTTTTTAAACTCTAAATCCCCTTGCCTGCTGGTTTTTTACCCTTGGAGTGTGTGCAAATTCTAACCAGAATGAGTTCCTGGGTGTTCTCTTAGGGCCTGAGACCAGCAAGCCACCTCCTGTGCACAGGGGCACATGGCCCTAACCTCCATCGGTGGAATGTTTCCGAAACAGAAGATGCCTGAGCTAAAGTGGGTAACCCTGAGGTCAAGAATGCCCATCACCCCACGCACCCCTGGAGGACGGTTTTGCAGTGAGAGTTTCAGCAGGTGTTCGGATTAGGTGGGAAAAGCTCTGCAGGCTGCAGCAGTGACCCCAGCCAGCGGGCCTGAGAACACTGGCAGACACTCCACGCAGCCACAGGAAGCACCTCGTTCTCTAAGGGGGCAGAGCGTGGGCCCCACAGGAAATGGGTGAGATACAAGAGGCCAGATCCTGGAAGGCAATGTCCAGAACAACACAGCACACTGGACACTTCAAAGGAGAAAAACTTTCAAACAACATCATGTTTGCTCCAAGACTTTGGACCAGAATCTCCACCACGATGGTGAGGAGCCCTCTGGCCACTTCAGAGAGCTCAAGTGCTCAGGAGGGCGGTCTGTGTTCTCAGCATGGCTATTCTTTGTGCATCTGAGACTGCTGAGTTGACAAGGGAGTAGGGACGGAAATGACACCAACCCTTGAAAATTGTGCTAAAAATGGCTTACGAGTGCAGTGGAGCTTCTGGCAGAGAGCTTTTTGCTCACTCGCTTCTCACTCCTCAAGTTTCCAGCTCTCCACAGAGGTAGTAGTATGAAGATTCACAGATGCATGTAAAACTTGGGTTAGTTAAGAGTTGCGAATGGAAACCTAGCTTCCTGAGCCACTGCCCTATGCATGTTTCGTTTGGTTTTGCTTACAGACATTCCTCCCCAGATGAACATCTCCGGCACCTTCCAGCAATCAGGAGGTCTTGTCTGTCCATCAAGAGTCCAGTCCGTTCCAATAATGCCTGAGCATGGTGGGGTCTGGGGCAGAGCAGTCTTCCCCAGAGAGAGGCAGTGTGCAGAGCAAGGCCAGGCAAGCTTGTGGTTCAGCAAGCCATGGAGTCCAGTAAGATACACGTACGTCCCTAAATTTCCCTACTGTCTGCCTTTGACAAAGGAAAAGACACTTCCCCAACTGGACATCGGACTCCTGGCAGTTAGAGCCCACAGGAACAGAATTGTAAAAAGACAGAACCCATGCCAACTATTCAAAGCCCCTAGGCTGTTGTTGCTAAGAAATGAATTCCAGTGCATGAGGGAAAACAAGCAGAGAAGCCAGCCGCCACCTGACATCACGTGATCTTCACGGATGATTTCTTGTTGGCACACAGAAGAGACACATAGGGGACACCAATGAAGGCCCATTTCTCACTGGGCCAGAACTTGATGACTGGGCCTTGCTCGGGGATCTCTGAGGCTGCATCAAAGTAGGCGAAGCACACACAGCCCAAGTAGGCGGCCAGGCAGATGAGGATGTGCCTGCAAAAGAGAACAAGGGTGAGCAGACTCCGCTGCCTTCGGTTTAGCCTGCTCCTCCCTCCAGGTAGCCCTCCTGTCTCAACTGTAATTAGAGTCCCTGGGCATCTTAGAATTAGGAAGGGATCAAAATGAACAGTAATGATGAATCTTCAGCATTTTAGGGAGCAACTTAGCACACAAATGGGCCAACAATGCCTGGGGGCTCCACCTGGGAGACTGAGGTCCACAGATTTAAAACAGTCTTTGCGGTGGGTGTTGGCTCAGCAGTTAAGATGCAACTTGAAGCACACACATGCCACAGTGGGATGACTGGGCTCAGGTATGGGCTGTACGTCCAGTGCCCAGCATCCCTGCTAACTCGCAGCCTGGGAGGCAGGGGGTGACGGCTTAGGTAGTGGGGTCCCTGCCAGCCATGTGGGAGACCCGAACTGAGTTCCAGGTGCTTGGCTTTTGCTCTGGCCCAGGCTCAGCTGTGGGAGATACTTGGGAAGTAAACCAGCAGATGGAAGATGGATCAACCAGCTGACCAATCCACGTGTGTACTTCTCTGTCCTCTTTCACTCTTTCTGCTTTCCAAATGAAAAAGAAAAAACAAGTACTAAGATGAAATAACTTATCACACCTGATTCTCCCATCACCTGATTGAAGGTATTTTATGTCTTTTTTCAGCAACAATTTTATATTGATTAAACAACTTTTAAAGCTGTTTCGTTTTGTTTTAATTTATCCTTATGGGGCCTATGAAAAGTTTTCATATAATTTTCTATCAAGCAATGGTCTGCTTCAAGGCATAAGATGTTTCCTTATACTCTATAATAAAATTTAATTCCAGTTGAATAGCTTAAAAATATTTTTAATATTTTAAAATAGTTTTATAAATGTAGGTGTGTCTTAGCACGTGGCACAAAATGCAGAAACTCTAACAGAAATTGTCAACATGAAAGTTTAAAATAAGGTACAAAAATAGCATCAACATACTAAACTGGACCTGGGAAACCAGAGAGAAAAATACTTGTTCCATGTGAATAAGAGAGCATCCCCACCTACCAAATTCACCGAAAGAACCAATCACTTCCCATCAGATCTGGCACATGCTTTGCCACACAGGGCTGAAGTGGGTGAGGGTGCCATGCACGACTCAGTAATCAGGTGTGGGGGGGAGTGGGCATTGCCCATGTAGTGGCTCCACTGTTCTGTGCACTTCTGAAAATTCTGCAAAGTTACATAAGAAGCTGCACTCACTTGGGCAGACAATAGTGCCTGCAGACTCTGTGCTGGGCATGAAATGCTGGATTTAAATGTTTTAAAATAGAAGACAAAAAAATTGAAGACACATTTCAGAAGAGAAAATACATATCACAAATTTGCATCTGAGAAGATGTCCAATAGCAATTTGCTTAAAAAAATGAAAACAAAAATACAATTTTTTCAATCAGATTAACAGAAATTTAAAGGAATCCATACACTCTCCCATAGACATTAGTAAAAATGTTCATTGGTACAGTCCCTCTAGATCTATCTATATGTATAGATCAATTTAACCCATGGAAATACTCAAGTATTAGAATCACTGTAGATTTTCATTACAGATTCTTTGCAAAAGGGAAAAACTAGAAATACCTGTATATCCATATAGCCCTTAACAGACAGGCTAGTTAGATGAATTATGAAGCACCCATGTCAGAGAGAGCTAATAAAACACAACATAAAATAGTGAGGTCCAATATCCAGCATTTAGATTTTTAAAAAAGAATCATGTATGCACGTGTCATGTGTAGAATATTCCTATTTTTGTTTCTTTTTTTTTTTTTTTTAGATCTTCCGACACATGATTCACTCTTCAAGAAGGCATGGTTCCTCCTGAGCAGCAGGCAGGTGGTCATCACAGCACATCTGATCCTACACTACCCCACCCTTCCCCCAACATCCCCAGCCAGTTAGGTTACAGATGTGTACCCCACAGCACATCTGGTCTCAACCTCCCCCTCTCCCCACCTTCTGTATCCCCAGCCAGGGCTCAGGTTACGAATTTTCTTTCCAAGCTCCTCTTTTGTTTTAATCATGGAGCCAGAGTAGGGAGGCTGAAGACCCACAGCATGACAATCCAGTTGCTTTTTTTCCTTTTTTTTTTTTTGTTCTAGCCAAGCCTGGGGCTGGAGCCAATTTCACTTTTTCACAATACCTTCTGTGCTTTGACAACATCTGCCTGTCTAAGTAGGGGAGAGAAATACCCTGGGCTGTGTAACGGCCCCCTGAGCACACCTGTGTGCTCCAGCAGGGCCCACAGGGCGCGACATCAAGTGCAGACACTGGCCTTGCCGCCAACGCTCCCTTCCGGCCACTTACCACACACAGTGCAGGTACGGGAAATGAAAGGCCGACAGCAGCTCACAGAAGGCCCGGTCGCTGATCCAGCAGAAGAGGGCGAGCGTCCACCAGAGGCCCGAGAAGAGGCCCAGCTTAAACACACGCACGTTCTCACACCTGCCCAAGGGTGAGTGAGACAGTACACCAATCAGGCCCAGTTTCCACCCATCTTTCGCCTCTTCACTCTCCCTCCCTTCTCCCCTGCCCTTTGTAATCAGTGTTCCTACCCAGCACATATCACCCCAGCTTCACAGTAATACCATGACTACACGTAGTCACACTTTCACACACCAAAATGAACTTGTCTTTTAATCGCATTTTCCATGAACTTTGGGAAATGTGTGTACCAATGGATCACAAAGTCATGCTTCCCACCCAGCCTTCTCCCCTGAGCCCAGACCCACATCCCAGCCCTGCTTCTTGACATGTGCACCCCCATGTCCAAGAGAGAATGAAATATAACTTGTCTGCAGTGACTTCTTAACCTTTCTCATACCCAAAACCTATTGTTCTCCCGGTCCTTTTTTTAGCTCACAAATCCCACATCTAGCCCATCAACATGCTCAAATTATCTCCAAAATCCACCCCCTTCCCACTTGCCTCCACCTGGGCCCATGCCACATCCTTCATCCACACCCCACTCATACACTTGCCTGTACACTCCATTCCCAGCACTCTGTCCCAAAGTCATCCATGTATTCCTCTTCAACCAGGCAGAAAGTCAAGGAGCTCATTGTGGGTCTCTTCCCTCATCCCCTCTCCTCCCCCTCGCTGCCTCTGAGCACACTACTGTGGATCCATGCTGTTCCTCATAGATCCTAAGCATACTCTGCAGGGTCTAGCATTTACAGACCCCTCCACCTGAAATGCTCTCCACCCATACCCACAGGGCTCTTCTTCAACCTGTGGCTCCACGTCTCATTGAGCCCTTTCCTGTCCACTGGTTCTGCACAGCAGGAACACCATCTCCCTGCTCAAGCAGCATTCCCCAACCCAACTACCCTTCCCTGGTTGGCTCTGTAGTGGTCATAACCCTTTGCCATCCTCTTGGTCTCACTCATTTCACTCTCTACTCCCATCCCACACTGGCAAGGAAGGCGCTCACTGCAGTAGCTGGCAGCTGGAGCAGCACCAGACACATGGAAGGCTGTTAATATTTGTTGGAGGAAGGAACAAATTCTTACATACACTGGGGAAAAATATTAACAATTCAAAGAAAATTTCAACTGCTGCTGTCTTCCTGTGTCATGGAATTGCCACTCATCTAGAAGGTGGGCTCCCTTCCTGGGGAGGAAGCCCAGAGGCAGTGGGTGGTTGAGGGTCCTTCTAACCCTTGGGTCAGCCAGGTCCCACAGTTCAATTGATCAACATCTGTCTATGAGGAGAATCTTAACTCATATTTATTGCACAGTAGGTGATAGTCAAAAGCCCGACTTGCCAGGACCTCTCCCAGCTGCCTAAAAGAGACATCAGCAAATCCATTAATAAAGATGGAATAGGCAGGTGGCGCTGTGGTATAGTGGGTAGAATTGCCACTTGTAGCGCTGGCATGCCATATGATCTGTGGTTGGAGTCCTGTCTGCTTCCCTTCTGATCCAGCTTTCTGATGACATGCCGGAAAGCAGCAGAACATAACATAAGTGCTGACGCCCATAAACAGAGATCAGAAGCAGAGGACCGGAACTCTAACCAGTATCCACATGGGGATGCAGGTGTCACAGGGGGGCAGCTTAACTGGCTGTGCCACATCAGCTCCATCTTCCTCTATGTTAAGAAGCAGGTCCTTCTAAGAGCCTCTGCGCTCACTGTCCAAACCTGAGCTCCACTAAGTTTTAGTCTCCTTGTTTATGGATGTTTATCAAAACATTAATTTGAAAGACAACTACAAAGTGAAACAATCCACATACACAGAAGGGTCCTGTTACAGGACAGAAAACACTGAGAAGAATAGATACCATTTCTTTTCCACCAGGCCTTTTTTTGCGTTCACAAAACCATTTTGAACAATAAAATCACTCTCCTAGTCCAAGGGGAGAGAGTATATTTTCAAATGTTTCAAATGCAGCTGAGTCATTCAGCAATGTAACTTAACACCAAATGTCAAGTCATGACCCCAAATCAGAATCAACTTTTGTTTTCTCATGGTCTGAGAGACAGTATAGAAAGCACAAGGAAAGTACGAGAAGGCTTGAAACAAGCAGAGATGAAGGCTGAAGAGAAACAGAAAGCTGCAAACTCCTTCCCCCACTTCCTCTGACCAAATGGAGGTGCACTGAGGAACATTTGGCTTAGACGTTAGCTTCAGATAAACAGGGAAGACCTGGAAGGAAATTCCAGGGGCAGTAAAGACATCCTCTTGTCTAGGAATTGGATCAAAACAGGGCAGCAGCCATTTCATCAGAATGTGTGTTGGCACCTAGGAGGCAGCAGTGAACAAAACAAACCTGTCCCTCGCAATACTGTCTGTGCCGAGCAGAGAATACAGACCGGAGCCAAATAGCAGCACAAGAAATTGTCCTTTCTTTCTTCAAAGTATTTTACTTATTTAATGAAAGGTAGATTTATGGAGGGAGGGGAAAACAGAGATAGACAGAAGAAGAGACAGAAAGAGAGAGATTTTGCTTTAGCTGGTTCATTCCCCAAATGGCCACAGCAGACTAAAGTCAGGAGTTAGGAGCTTCGCCAGCTTTCCCAAGAGGGTGGCAAAAGTCCAAGGACATGCGTGGGTCATCCTCCACTGCTTTTCCCAGGAGTATGAGCAGGAAAACATGAAGCAGCTGGGACTCACACCAGCACCCAGATGGTATGCTGGCATTGTAGGCAGCAGGTTTACTCACTATGCCACAATGCCAAACCCACAAGAAATGTTCTAGTTACAGGCCCGGTGCAACAGCCTAATGCCTAAAGTCCTAACTTGAAGACGCTGAGATCCCATATGGGTGCCGGTTCTAATCCCGGCAGCCCCCCTTCTCATCCAGCTCCCTGCATGTGGCCTGGGAAAGCAGTTGAGGACAGCCCAAAGCCTTGGGACCCTGCACCCATGCGGAGCACCTGGAAGAGGCTCCAGGCTCCTGGCTTCGGATTGATGCAGCTCCAACTGTTGCAGCCACTTGGGGAGTGAATCATCAAACAGAAGATCTTCCTCTCTGTGTATCTTCTTTTAAATAAAAATAAGTAAATTTTTTTTAAAAGAAAAAAATTCTAGGTATAGCCACAGTGACTAGCACGTAGGAGAGGTTTGGAAGGCTAGAAGAGCATGAAAACAATTGAGGCGAATCTAAAGATGGAACAGAATCTAGCCAGGAAGGTTGGAAAAGGGAGACATAATGAACAAGGAGCTGACACCAGAAGCTGGGTTCAAATGAAGGTATGAACAACGTGAACAGCTGAGGATGGAACACAGGGAGAGCTTCAAGTGAAAGCGGTCAGCCTGGAAGCACAGGAAGAGGGAGTGGCATTCTGGCTTGAGCAACTGGGCAAATGGTGCTGCAAGCCTAGCAGATCAGAAATCTTGTTTTCGAGAAGTGCAACGACCCGATGGCCCATGGAATTGGAGAGGCCAGGCAGGCAGCTAGTTGCATGATGGTGGAGTCAGAAAGAAAGGATGGGTTCAAGACATAAATCTGGGAGTCCTCTGGAAATACACAGCCAGTAAAGCCATGGGACTGGCTGAGATCTTTCAGGGCAGGTGCAAAGGGAGAAAAACCATCTGCAGTACTGGGGGCTGCTATGACAAATCACTGTAGACCAGGTGGCTTGCAGACAACACACTGTTGTTTCTCACAGGTCTTGAGGTGGGGAAGGCCAAGATGTAAGCAGGTCCGTCAGCTGACAAAGGCTCATTCCTCATGGATGGCGCCTTCACGCCGTATCCTCAAGGCACCATCCACACTGGAGGGGCAAGGCAGTTCTCTTGGGCTCCTTCCATTTTTAAATTCTTTTGTTTTTATTTGAAAAGCAGACTTGCTGAGCAAGAGGAAGAGACACAGAGAGAGATCTTCCTTTTGTGGGTTTACTCCCTAATTGGCCATAACACCAGGAGCTGGGCTGGTCTAAAGCCAGAAGCTAGGAGCTTTTTCCGGATCTCCCACCTGATTGCAGGAACCCAAGCCCTTGGGTCATCTTCTGCAACTTTGCCAGGCATATTAGCAGGGAATTAGATTGGAAGTGGCGTGGCAGGGATTCCAACCAGTGTCCATATAGGATGCTGGTGTTGCAGACAGAGGCTTAGGTTACCATACCACAGCACTGGCCCCTGGGGTCTCTTTTCTAAGAGTACCGTAGCAGTCAGCTTGTCATTACTACAATGAAATACCTGAGACAGCCCAATTATTAAAACAAAGAGAGAGAGAGATTCAGTTCAGAGTAAGGGGCTGAAAGTCCCAACAGCATAACACAGGCTCTAGCACTAGTCTCTTGGCAGACAACATAGCATGTGCCAACAAAGGATTAATCACACCACAAGCCAGGAAGCAGAAAGGCACTGAGTAGGGCCAAACTTGGCTTTCAATAAGTCAGGTTCCCAATGACCTAAAGATCTCTTAAAAAAAAAAAAAGTACTCATTAAACACTTGTTGAAAGAGTGAACAAGCAAATAGGCAGATCTGAGGCTTACTAAGAACCTTTCTGCTATCACAAGTAATATAACAAGTGATTAAGTAGAAAGCTGACTTTAAAAAGGATTTAGTTATTTTGATTAAAAAAAAAAGGCAGATTTTTACAGAGGAGACAGAGAGAAAGATCTTTCATCCACTTGTTCACTCACAAAGCAGCTGAAACAGCTGGAGCTGAACTAATCCAAAGCCAAAGCCAGGAACTTCTTCTGAGTCTTCCACATGGGTACAGGATCCCAAGGCTTTGGCGTGTCTTCGACTGCTTTCCCAGGCCACAAGCAGGGAGCTGGGTGGGAAATGGAGCAGCCAGGCCACAAACTGGTACCTATATGGAATCCTAGCATGTCAAGGCAAGCATTTAGCCCTAAGCAATTGTACCAAGCCCAAAAGTCGACTTTTTAAATCAGGATATTAAAAGCATCCATGCCCCAGCTGTAGGCAACTGCTTAGGCTACACTGAACCTAGGCAAGTGTCACACTGCTGGGAGAAAAGTGGCCAATAGATAGCAGGTATTCTGGGCGTGGTAAACGTCAAATTTATGTTAACTATATCCGTGTGCCAGCATAGTTCTATTCTAATTATTATGGGTAAGGCAGGGGATGCTGGGTCAGGACACCCCATCCAGGCCACCAGGCAATCTGGGAGGGAATGATGGGAGGTTGCAGATTTCCCAGGGAAGGAGTCTGAGGATGTACTGGAGTGGGAGCAGCTGAGAGCATGTTTGCGACGAATGAGTACTGGGGCCTCTCTTGGACCAGGCCACTGTATTCACAGTTTGGCAAGGGAGCAGAAATTGAGTGGTTTAGAGAGGGGAAATCAGAGGACATGTCTGGGCCAGGTTAAGGCATCTACTATATGGGAGATCTGGGCCGGGCTAAGTAGCAACCTGCCAGTACATATGAAAATTGGGGTTATAAGGCATGTCAAGCTGGGCTATACCTGCGGTATACCTGCACGTGAGTGTGGGAGCAGGGAACACGCCATATCAGGCTGGGCCACAGCACCCACCAGAACATGGAAGAACCAGGTATGGGGACAGATTCTGTGGAAGAGTTGTGAGCTTGCCTCTGAGATTGCAACACCAGCTGATTTGCTAAAGAGCTGGGGCTGGTGACAGGTCTAACCAGGCTGGACCACAAACCAGGAACTCAGCTGACACTCGAGGGAGCCAGAGTTGGGAAGAACCTAGACTTTGCCATGATACAGCACCTACCGGCACATGCAAAGGCCAGGACTGAGAGCAGATCATGCCAAGCAGAATCACAGCACCCACCATCACTTGTGAGATCTGGGGCTGGGAGCAGGGCCTGATAGGAGAACCTGGGGTATTCTCTTGCTAACCTGCAGCTCCTGCTGGGAAGAAGATGGAGTTGGGCTGGAGGCAGGCCAGGCCAGGCCAGGGCGGCAAGGCTAGGCAAGGCTGCAGCACTCGTCAGCATTTGTATGTGCTGGGATGGGGACAGACCAGACTAGGTTAGGCTCCAGGATCTGTTATTGTTCATAAGAACCAGAATGGGTACAGACTAGGTCAGGCTAGGACATGGTACCCTCCAGGTCACATGAGAGCTGGATCTGGGAGTGGGCCAGGCTGGGCTAGACTGTTTCATCCACTGGTGAGAGTGCAAAGGGGTGCAGGCAAGTCAGGCTGAGCCACAACATCTGCCAGCACTTATGAGATCTAGGGCTGGTAACAGGCTCGGAAAAGGAACTTGAGGAACTCTCCTGCTATGCCACAGCACCCACTGGTGTGCATGATGACCAGACCTATAGCAGCCTGGGCTGGGCTAAGCTGGACTAGGCCATAGCACCTGTCAGTCTGTATAAGGCAGAACTAACAAAGCAGCTGCATCCACCAATAATGTGCAGTGGCTAGTGCAAGTAAGAGACTGAAGCTGACCCTGCACTAGCTGGCACACACAAAAGTCAAGTCTGAGGTCATCCCAGATGAGGTTTCTTGGGGGACTCCCAAACTAGATTACGGGACTCAAACTCTAGCCACAGGGGAAATTACAATATATGTGGTATGATTTAGAGTACATATATTGGGACTGGGCCTCCTCAGTTGCTGATGCCTGTGCAAAGGACAGTATGCCCAGATCCTCACAGGGGAGATGTTAGCCAGTTCATCTAGGCCAACAGTGCCTCATCAGAGGATGGAAAGCAGAATAGGTTGGACAAGTCTCCTGGCCAAGATTTGCAGCAAGTGTCTAGGTCTGTGATACACACTAAGGTGGACTTGGTCAGCTAATAGAGTTTGGAAAGATTTTCTCAACCCTAGTACAACAAAGCCAACAATGTCTCAGAACTATTAAGACAACTCAAATAACATCCTCAAATTATGCTCCACATCAAGGTCTCTAAATAACCAATGACCATCACCCATAAGGTTTGACAGCAAAGAGTGGCTCCCTTGCATTCCCCCACACACACTCCTCCTGCCAGAAGACCAAGAGAATTAAAGGAACTGAAACATTTGTCCCTCCCACCTTCTTCCATATCTTGACCATGCCCATCCTAATTGGAGGCCCATATAGGTATACATCCCTCTCAACTATGTAAGCAATATTTAAAATAAAAAGAACTCATCACAACTTCAGCCTGTTTCTGAAACAAGTCTCTTATCTTCCCAGTCCTTGAAGGCTACAACTCTAAGAGGCCAAGAGCAGAGCTGACAGCATCCTTCAGCTGTTACACTACAAGTTCAATACTTCTACCACCACCTTTGCCCCTGCCTGTTAAGGCTGACAAGCAAAGCAACTCTCACAGGTCAAACAATCAGAAAGAAAGGTGATATTGCCTCTCAAGACAAAGAGAGGGAAAGAGCTGAGTGAACACGTTGCAAAAGTAACTATCACCCACAAGGAAACAGACCTCAATTGGGAAAACCAATGTCCACAACAATGAGAAAAATTATGAATTAAAAGGCAGCCTCAAAGAAAAAGCAACATTTCCAAAGAGAATTAAAATAAGGGCATCAACTTGATCTATCTTAGCTGTAACTAGAAGATAGACACACAGTGCCAAAACATTTTTGGATATCAATCTGAACTCTATGTATATAACTTTTCACAGAATAATGCAAACACAAATAGAAAAGGCTTTACTGGATAGCTTGTAAAGACATCAAGTGTCTGAGAAGGTGCCTTTCAACAATAGTTCACTTGAAGTGAATGCTTCCTTGTGTGAACAAATTTACTTTCCCTGCCTCTTTCTCCTTTTTCATTGTGTGTATGAATGTCATAATTTCTTTGGGATTTCTCCTTGTTTCTGTAAATAGTAAAGCTATTCTTTCTACAGAATTAAGTCCAGGCAGTTGTCTGTGCACTGAGATGTTCTTGATAAGCTACCTTTTGATCACTGGGACAAACTGCTGTCTCTGGGCTAAACAGCTGTTCCCCTCCTTCCACAAATGAGATCATTAACATTTTAAACAAAACACCCAGTCTGCATACAATCCAGCAGTCAGACACCAATCCTTCACAAACAATAAAGTTCCTCTTCCATACTCAAGGATAGCAAAGGAGCCAGGAGCTCACGTGGCCCCAACACAAGGAGCCTCAGTAGTGGGCAGAAAGGGTGATACCCACCTCCTCAGCTCTGCGATGAGCAGTGCAGTGCAAGGAACCCCCAAGGTCATCAGAGAGATGTTGTTGATGGCAGGCTTGACAAATGCCAGGCACGTTGTAACTGCAGACAGGACACAGACCACCACCTTGAACCTGCCCCTGAAAACCAAGGAAATAAAACCAAACCCATTAGCAAAGGAATTCTTGTACATTGAATGCTGACAAGGTACAGACCGTGCTAATCTTGAGAGCTGAAAAAACCAAGGATCTAAATACCATTCCCATTCACTGCCCCAGAAATTCTACTTCCATGAATTCATTCTTACGAAATCATCAGAGATTTCCAAAATACTTCGCCAGGAGTGGCACTGAAATCAACTCAAGTTTCTATGGGTAAAATATACTAGTCATTTTCTTAACATCGTTTTTCTGTGTTTTTTTTTTTTTTCAGATGTTCTATGGCTAGTTTGGGATAATCTGATAAGCATCAGAGAGCAAGTATTTCAGGTTTTCAGGTCTTAAGGTCTGTGATGCAGCTACTCCACTCTGCCACGGGAGACAGCAAGTAAACAAAGGGGCATGACAGTGCCAAGAAAACTGGATTTGCAAAAACAGGACCCAGGTGGTCCACAAGACACGGTGTGCCAACCTCTACGCTACCAGGGGAACATGCTTGATTTTCTTGAAAAAAAGAGAGACCACTAACAAACCATAAAGCTTCCTGACTTAAAAAGGGGGGTGGGGGAGGGAGGAGGGAATGTCCTCTGAGGGAGCATCGTGAGTAACTAGTGCAGGAAACTAAAGGTATTAAGGGGAAAAAAATCTACTAGTATCCATATTTACTGACAGGCCACCAGTCTAATACACACTGGATCTGTGCTGGCAAGTTCAGACGTGACAAGTCTGAGAAAATCCACAGGAGCCAGCCTCACACCCCTCCCTGGAGGCCGTTTCTGGGAAAAGAGGCTGAAGGGACGACGTGATCCTGCACATGTCCCTTCTCTCTCAGGACCACACTTCCGTTACTCTGGACCAGAGGGTTCCTAAGGCCTCTCACATGACTGGAACTTAGAGGCACATGGGCTTCCTGAAGTTTCTGCTATTCCTCATTAGCACAACTTACTTTGGCCTAGAGCTCTGGAACAGGTCACAGTCAAGAAATGAATTTGCATGAAACTCTGTTATAAAGAAATCAAAGGGCATTGACCCTTCAAAATATACAAATGAATATTTTAAATAGGAAAACCATTTCTCATCAAGGCACAGGAAATCATTGATCAAGCTGTCAACTATCTGACTGGAATGAATAGGCATTGTGACTTTGAACCTCTCACAGAGGAAAAAAATATATATGGGAAAGGACCCAGGCAGCAAATCCTCAGGAGAATTGTGTTTTGCCCCTGACCCTTGCTGGCTTTCTTCAGCTGCTGGACGAACGGCTGCTCGCTGCAGCTGGGGAAGAGCACTGCAGGTCAGTCATCACACTCGTGGCCTTTGGAGACCCACAACAACTCTTTCAACGGATCTGAGGTTCTACGACATGTGCCAGGACTATCTGACTTTCTTGCTTGTTTGTTTTCAGACTTTTTAATTTTTATTGGAAAGTCAGATACACAGAGGAGCGACAGAGAGGAACATCTGTCTGATGATTCACTCCCCAAGTGTCTGCAACAGCCGGAGCTGAGCCAATCCGAAGCCAGGAGCCAGGAACTTCCTCCAGGTCTTCCATCTGGGTGCAGGGTCCCAAGGGTTTGGGCTGTCCTCAACTGCTTTCCCAGGCCACAAGCAGGGAGCTGGATGGGAAGTGGGGCTGCCGGGATTAGAACCAGTGACTATATGGGATTCTGGCGCATGTAAGGCAAGGACTTTAGCCGCTAGGCCTATACTATACACCAAGCCTATACTACCTAACTTTTTAAGATAGATCAGTATAACTAGAAAAGTGTATCCCTTTTATAGACCCAACAGATCAGAATTCAAGCACAGAATAGAGCAAGCAGCACAGTGATTGAAAGGCCAGGCTTTGCAAACAGCAGTTAGGCTTGCAATTAAGAGACCCGCCTCCTGTATCAGAGAGCCTGGGTTTAATAACTGACTCTAGCTCACTGCTAAGGCAGACAGTGAGGGCTCAAGTAGATTCCTGTCACCTACACTGGAAATCTACATGGAATTCTTGGCTCTTGGCTTCACCTAAGCCCAGCCCCAGACACTGCAGGCCTTTGAGTGATGATCCAGAGAATGGGCATGCAATCGTTGCTTCCTCTCTTTCTTTCTTCCTTTCTTGCTTGCTTTCTTCCTTTCTTCTCTCTCTCTCTGTCAGCAGTTAACTTTTTTAAAGCACAAGTGTTTCAGTTACACAGATGTGAGTTCAAAACTCACCCCCATCACTTAGTAGCTGTGGAACTTTTGGCAGGTAATGTTACTGAAACATGTCCTTTGTAAAAAAATAAAAACATCCTGCCTCATGGTATTCCTATAAACATTAAAAGTACTTAACTCAGTACCTGGCATGTGTTATATGATAATAAAATCCATGATTGCCACTATCCTTATGTTGAGAATAAAGACTATTTTATAAAATACTAATATCATTGACATCCCACACAAGGGAGACTCTGACCCAACTTGTAATACAACTCCCCAAATCTCTACATGGCATTGCCAAATACTGGAACAGCAACAAGCTCTGTGGAACATGGCATGTTCAGGGACGCCATCAGCAACGCCCTCCCCACACTGGCTGCAGAGGACATGAAGGAATGTGCCGGTCATCAAGGCTACCCTGTGAGACCACAATTCTGCAACCAGCAGAAACAGAGGTCATGGAACCATTGGAAGCCAGACAGCCCAGCACCTTCCAGGGTCACCAGAGGCCACTGGGGGGAAGACAGCTGGAAACACCCAGGAACAAAGGGTCCTGACAAGATGCTTCCTACATGGTGATGATAGGCAAGCCCTCCCTCAGTCTCCAGACCTGTGCTGAACTTTGTAGCCCATTATGGGCCCAGACAGGAACACAAGCTCAGGGGACTCTGCTCCCATATTCTCCACCAAAATCTACCCACCCTTGAGTATCATTACAAGATGGTTACAGCAAAGCTAATTTTGTTGTTACCACTAGTTATTTTTTAAAGCAATGGTTGTCCACCCTTTCAGATCTTCTGTCTCTTTTTTTTACAACAAATACATGGCAATACCCTTTTAAAAATTCTTCTGAACTGATACGGAATTCATGGATGATTAAAAACTCCCATCACTGTGAACTGCCGTCCCAAACATGCCCATAAATTTTACAGATATCCCTCAAAAAGCGGAACTGTTCCTGGTTAAAATCAACTGCTTTCAATTATCTTTTGGGACTAAAATATAACGTATTTTGCACAGCCAGTCCTTGCTGGCACAGCAGCATCTGGCTCAGAAAGGGACCTCAAGAGCTAGTCTAATGCTGACAAGCTACCAAGGCCCAGAGAGTTTATGATTCAAGCCCCAAGAGATCCCGCAAATGCGCTGGCAGGATAGGCAGATCCCAGCCTGCCGTCTAGCCATTCAGGATTCAAAACACAAAGTGAACTATACGGTAAGGATGTCACTAGATTTCAAAAAGGTAAAAAGCATCAAAGCACACAGGAAGAACATCTTTCTAAAAAGACTTATGTATTTATTTATTTATTCATTCAATCATCCTAAGAGTAAAAGAGGCAGACCCTCCATCCACTGGGTGACTCCCCAAATGGCTCTAACAGCCAGGTTTGGACCAGGAACCCCATCCTAGTTTCCCACAGGGTGAATATCTTTAAGGTAGTAACAATTAGCTTATAATAACTCTTTGTTCTTTTTTCCTCAAAGTTATTGATAACTATTAACATATGGAGGAATGCCCTAAAGATTCTGGAGTCCTTTTCCTAGATATACATTTTATATAGATTTCCCCTTTATTTCTGGCCCCATGAGGTAAATGTTTTTATTATTTCCACTTTACAGATGAGCAAAATGAGGTCTCACAGTTTTTTGTTAGTTTGTTTTTCATGGTTTTTTTCCCCCAAGAATTGTTATTCAAAGCCAAGTCTGAAGCCATGGCTGTCTGATACGAACTCACTTGGCTGCTCACCAGGAATGTCACGCTGAAAATACTCTCAATGCATATTTCAAAATATTCAGGAAAAGTCAAGATCACACACTCTTCCCCTTCCACAAAAAGTGGACAAGTGTTGCCTATTTGGTAAGTCCAAGCAGCTACAGTAGACCACACTGGTCTGTAGGAACCTGGTTTTGACATGAGCTTTTCAGGCTGGCCTGGCATGTCCCTAACAGAACTGCCACCTGTCCCTCATGACTAACACTGACACGCACATACAGGCATTTGGCTTCGTTGTCCTCATCATCACTGGAACATTGAAGGAGTGTAAATAGAGCTCAGCCCATCACTTCCCTTTCTCTCTCATGCACCATTTCTTTCTTTGCTCATCAAACTTTCCAAGGCCCAGTCTCCCCTTTAGTTCCCATAACAATTCCAGAAATTTCCTCTGCTTACAATTGCGGGGGAAAAAAAAGAGTTCATCACACTGTTTATTCCTATGCCAAGTGCCCTGCAGAATCATTTCAAAGAACTCTGAGGGGCCAGCATACTACTCCTCTTCCTGCTGTGCCAGCACACCATGTTGGCACCGGTTTGAGTTCCAGCTACTCCAGTACCAATCAAACACCTTGTTAATGTGCCTGGAAAGGCAACAGAACACGGCACAAGGCCTTGGACCCTTGCACCCACATGGAAGATCTGGAAGAAGTTCTTGGTTCCCAGGCCCGGCACGGTGGCCTAGCAGCTACAGTCCTCTCCTTGAACACACCGAAATCCCATATGGGCACCAGTTCTAATCCTAGCAGCTCCACTTCCCATCCAGCTCCCTGCTTTGGGCAGTCAAGGACAGCCCAAAGCCTTGGGACCCTGCACCCACGTGGGAGACCTGGAGGAAGTTCCAGGATCCTGGCTTCGGATTGGCACAGCACCAGCCATTGCAGTCACTTGGGGAATGAATCATCGGACGGAAGATCTTCCTTTCTGTCTCTCCTCCTCTCTGTATATCTGACTTTGCAACAAAAATAAATAAATCTTTAAAAAAATAAAAAGAAGAAGTTCTTGGTTCCCATCTTCAGGCTGACTCAGCTCTAGCCATGGCAGCATCTGGGGAATGAACATTTGGATAAATGATATTTCTCTCTCTTCTTCTTTCTGTGACTTTCAATTAAAAAAAAAAAAAAAAGGAATCTTGCCTAAAATCAGTGCATTGTTCACGTAGGCTCACAGATAAGAAAGCAGTCACGATAAGGGGTATACTTTGTAAGCAATGAAACTAGGATTCAAGTGCAGAGGGTCTTCCAAGGCCAGACTAGATCCCCATGTTGGCTCAAGCCTCCGAAGGATTCTCTCCGCAAAGAGGATCCATAGTTCACATCCTCACATCATCTCCAGAGAAGCTCTGCAGGTGCTGGCAACAGAAACCCCAAGTTATCACAGACATCTCTACCTTCAAATATGTTTTCTATTTACATACTTATTTTAAAAAAAAACATTTATTTTTATTTGAAGGAAAGATTTTATAGAAAAAGAAGAGACATGGAGAGAGATCTTTCATCCACTGGTTCACTCCCTAACGGCCATAATAGCTGGAGCTGAGACCCAAAGCCAGGAGCCAGGAGCTTCCTCCAGGTCTCCCACATGGATGAAGGGGCCCAAGAACCTAAGCCATCCTCCTCTCCTTCCCAGACCATAAGCAGAGAGCAAGATTGGAAGTGGGTCAGCTGGGACATGAATCACACCCATATGGGATGCCAGCATTACAGGTGGAAGATTAGCCTGTTGTGTCACCATCCTGGCCCCATATGTGCTTATTTTTATTTGAAAGGAAGAGAGACAGAGCTATAGAGATCTTCTAACTGGTGATTCACTCCTCAGATGTCAGAAACAGCCCAGGCTGCGTCGAGCCAAAGGCATGGGCTAGCATCTCAATCTCAGTCTTCCACTTGGGCAGGAGGGACTCAAGCACTTGACTTGCCTGCTACATCACAGAGCAAGCATTAGCAAGAAACTGGAATTGGAAGAATTCAGACTCAAACTTGGGATTCCAGGATGGGGTGTGGGCCTCCCAAGCAGTGTCTTAAGATGCTGTCCCAAATGCCTACCATGCCTACCACCATTGTCATCATCAAAGCTGGTGAGTTGTAGTCGCCAGTGTCATTCTATTCTCCTGTTCATAACAACATTCCTCATGCCTACTCCTATCTCCAATTAACAAGAGAAAAACGTGCTCTGTAATGAACACATTAAAAACTGTCACTTGGAACTCCCACCCAGGCTTCCCGAATGCCACAAGCAAGTAAACAAAACCCTTGCTCGGATTTCCTGCTCCTTGCGTGGTTTCCAGGACTTGGAGGAACCTTCTTCTAGTCACTCATGAAATATGTTCTGGTGAACTACAATCATTCCATCATGCTGTGTGCCACCAGGAACTCCATTTTCTCTGTGATTTTGTACCCACTGCCCAATCTCCCCTTTTGCCCTCCCTACCCTTCTCCAGTCACTACAGACTAAATTCTGTGTTCAAATTGAGTCATTTTCTTTAAAGATTTATTTATTTGAGTCACAGAGGAAAAGCGATCTTCCATGGGCTAGTTTACTCCCCAGATGGCTTCACTGGACAGGACTGGGCCAGGCTGAAGCCAGGAAGCCAGGAGGCCAGGAGCTTCATCTAGGTTTCCCATGGTGTTCAAGCACTTGAGCCATCTCTGCTACTTTCCCAAGAACATCAGCAAGGTGCTGAATCAAGAAGTGGAGCAACTGTGACATGAACTAGCACACATTTGGGATACCAGTGTCACAGGCAATGACTTTACTATTGTGCCACAATGCCAGTCCCCAAGTTGAGTTTTCTAAGTTTCTACATAAGGCATACATTTGAGACTTGAAAAATGAGATCTCAGGGAAAGGAGCTCTTCAACTCTCAGCCTAATACTCCCAGGCTCAGGAGAAGGACTGAGGGTACTAGTGGGCTCCTCCTGAGATAGCGGGAAAAACCAGAAGGGAAATGGTTTGTTTACAAACAGTTCCTACTAGCACAACACCCTACACAGTGCCCTCTGTCTCTGCTCTTACCCTGGTCCCCTTCTCCAGCCTCACAAGGCTTCCCCTGAGGTAGAATAAGGAAACCAAGCAAGATTAGAACCTGGAGACAGCCCAAAGTGGCCTGGCCACATTTTACAGCATCCCTTTTCTGCTGATGTGAAGGCTTTCATAAGAAATTCACACGTGCACCTCATAAAATCGCTCAGACCAATTCAGATTAGAGGTGAAAGTGGAAACTCTTTCCACTGCCATGTTCAAGGACACGCCCTCATCTGCCCAAGGATTTCAGTGTACAAATAAACACTCAAAAAGAGTTGTATTTATTCATTCTAATATGAGGATGTCACATGCACAGTTCTACACTGCACATTCTGCACTTCCTGCAGGTACTCCTCCAGCCCAGTCCTCTGGGAGTGGCTTCGGGCCTTAACTGCTGCCTAGCGGCAGTTCTTTCTCAGAGTCTGAGATGAATTCTTCCATGTTCCTGGTATAACTTTTCCCTCAGCACACACAGAACGCTTCTCTGAATTCATATTTTAGATCATTTACCTGCACACACATACCAACACATCCTAAAGAGAAATGTGTGAGTGATGCGTTCCGGGAACATTTGTCATCTTTATTAGGCTGTGTCTCCCATGTGCTTCAGGACAGTAACAAATCTCACCCAGCTCTCATGATCATACTCTTCGCACCCCAGGTCACTGCTAAACCTTTAGTAGCCTCCTTTCTCATTACAGCTCTTATCATACCTTAGCAATATAATTATCTATTTGTTCATTTGTAATTGCTCCAACTTCAGTGTAAGCTCATTAAAGAAAAAGATTCTGCTGTTTGTTTTAGAGTTTTATAAAGTATGAAAAATGTACAGTAAAAAAAGAAGTGCTCAAAAATATTTAGTAGTTGGGCAAACATATAATCCTAACATGATAGATATGAAAAGCCATGCCTTCCTGAAATTCTGGACTCTCAGCTTAGAAACACACACAGTGGGAGAGGGAAGGGTAGACAGGGGAAAGGAGGGGAGCAGAGGGAAGGGCAGGAAAGGAAGCAGGAGGAAAGGAGAGGGCACATCACCACACTGGTTCTTGCACCTTGTGGGAAATGTAGAAATATTTAGTTTAAGCTTACCTGTCGTTCCGAAAAACCTTCGGTAGATACCGTCTGGGAAACCACATGGCCAGAGCACACATCAGGACCCAGAGGATTGCAAGTTCATCCAGCATCTGACCCAGGAAACTAAGAGTTGCATGGAAGTAGACGGATCCAATTCCTAGAATCAATTACAACCAATAAAAAAAGATCACCATAGGAGAAGAGACTTGGAAATTCTATCCAGTACTTAAGGACAGACCTGTCATCAACTGCTATCAAAACCACAATCTCTCTCTCTCTCTCTCTCTCTCTCTCTCTCTCTCTCTCTCTCCCTCTCTCTCCCACTCTGAAAAACAGAAAACTGAAGGAAGAAACCCATACTGCTCAGGCATTTATCTCAAGCCTAGAAGGAATTTCAAGCAGAGCCACCTTAATGATTCCTCAGCTAACACCCTCTGTCTTTATCCAGTGTGACTTCATAGAAACAGGCAGCAGATAAAAGCAGCATGGCCTCACTGTTACACATTCCTAACCTGCCTAGGAAAGGACTGGAAATTACACAAGTATTTCATAGAACAATAAGGGATCTAATATTTATTTTTTAAAATTGTAAGGCTACTAGAAATATAATTGAGTGGGAATTACAGTGTACTTTGTTATCAGTCAAGAGCCCTTCTGCTGTCGTCAAGCAAGGGACAAAGTTTGTGAAGACGTCAGAGTGACTTTAGTTTACAAAACGTTATGTTCAACAGGGACAGGAAGTGTACAGAATCCCGCTTCCTCCCTTTCCGTCTACGTTCCCGAGCGAGTCCACTTACCCACTACAACTAAAAGAGTCCATATTAAGTAGATGCCACTGTTGAAGCACGTTGCATACTGACGGAACAAGCACATGCAGATGGGCGGTAAAATGAAAAACAAGACGTTGCTGATCTGGGGGGGGAACGTAAAATGGAAAAATGAATATTAAGTAAAAAAAAAAAAAAAAGAAAGCAGCTTGTTCCAAGTGCATCATTTGCATGAATGCGGCTTCTGCTTTACTCCGGCTCTTGCAACACTTTCATATTGCAGATACAGAAACCAGAAAAACTGGCAGTCTCGGGAACACCCATTCCAGGGCTCCCGATGGCGAAAGCAGCTCTGGAAACACTGCAGGCTAGGAAGTGTAAGGCTCTTCTTCTGATTCACAGAACCAAGAATTCTTACTGGGTTTCTGTACAGATCAGTTATGAAGCATTCTAACCTGTTTGCAGTTCTATTTTTCAGGACAAGGTCTATACCAAACAAAGTAATAATGATAATAATTATCATCATTTCATAACAAGGTGTCTTCCAGCTCTAACCTGACAAAAAAGCCAACATTTTCTTCTGGGCCCAGATCAAGAGAATTCTTTCTGGACTCCCCCTTCCTCACCTAATTTAAGCCTGCAGAGGTGCAACTACAAAGGTAAACATCAAATCTGCAGAGGTTCCTTCTCACCTTTCAAATATCAGGAGTGACAGCTTAGCTTAGTGGTTAGGACACGTGCATCTCAAATCTCAGAACTCAAGTTCAATTCCTGCTAATACAGACTCCAGGACAGAGCTGTGGTGATGCAAAGAACTGGCTTCCTACTTTTTGCCTGGGAAACCTGGAAGGAGTTCCCAGCTTCTGGCTCCAGCACTAGCCCAGCTGTGCAGGCAATGGACAGGATCTCTCTTTCTCTCTCTCCCTCTTTCTGCATCACCTCACTAATAAATTTAAATTTAAGCAATGAATTGATGATAATTTATGTGGGCTAAAGCCTTTGTTATATATCCAGTAGATATTCATCATGTGTAAAACTTAAAAACAGGGCCCAGCGGCATGGCCTAGTGGCTAAAGTCCTCGCCTTGAACACCCCGGGATCCCATATGGGTGCCAGTTCGAATCCCAGCAGGTCCACTTCCCTTCCAGCTCCCTGCCTGTGGCCTGGGAAAGCAGTCCAGGACAGCACAAAGCTTTGGAACCCTGCACCCATGTGGAAGACCTGGAAGAAGTTCCTGGTTCCTGGCTTCAGATCGGCATAGCATGGGCCATTGCGCTACTTGGGGAGTGAATCATCGGATGGAAGACCTTCCTCTCTGTCTCTCCTCCTCTCTGTATATCTGACTTTCCAATAAATAAATAAATCTTTAAAAAAAATCTTAGCTCAAAAAAAATAATAAATAAAACTTAAAAACATATCTTAATGCAACATGCTAAAAAAAAATTGTCCATCAAATAAATAACCACTATTAAAATATCACTAAGTGGGGAAGAGCACCGTGGTATAGCAGCTAAAGTCCTCACCTTGAATGCCCCACTTCCCATCCAGCTCCCTGCTTGTGGCCTGGGAAAGCAGCAGAGGGTGGCCCAAAGCCTTGGAACCTTATACCCACGTGGGAGACCTGGAAGAAGTTTCTGACTCCTGGCTTTGGATCGGCTAAGTTCTGGTCATTTCAGCAGCTTGGGGAGTGAATCAACGGACGGAAGATCTTTCTCTCTGCCTCTCTTCCTATCTGTATATTTGCCTTTCTAATAAAAATTTTTTTAAATAAATCTAAAACAAATTATTTTCTGTTAGCTTGATTTTTGTCTATCCTTAGGGAATCATAATTTTTTCCTGAATTTTAAAAATTGAGATAAAATCCATATAACATAAAATAAGCCAGTTTGGGGCTGGCACAGTGGCTCAACAGGCTAATCCTCTAGTTTCTACACCCACATCCCATATGGGTGCCGGTTCTAAGTCCTGGCTGCTCCACTTCAACACAGCTCCCTGCTTATGGCCTGGGAAAGCAGTGGAGGGTAGCTCAAGCCCTTGGGGCTTTGCACCCATGTGGGAGACCTGGAAGAGGCTCCTGGCTTCTAGCTTAGAATCAACTAAGTTCTTGCCACCACTGCAGCCATTTAGAGAGTGAAACAGCATATGGAAGATTCTCTGTCTCTCTCCCCTTTTCTTAGTATATCTGCATTTCAAATAAAAGTAAATCTTTAAATAAAAAACTAGCCAGTTTCAAGTAGCATTTATTATATTCAAAATGACAACAATCATTTCTATTTAGTTTGCATATGTTCATCACCCCAAGCAAAATCCTTATTCTCATTAAACACTCAGTACCCATTTCCCCTCTGTAGACCCTGGTCACCAGAATCTTTCGCTGCTCTGGATATTTCAAGTGAATAGTACCATACCAAAAGTGATCTTTTGTGTCTGGCTTCTTTCACCTAACATTTTCTTTTTCTTTCTTAAGCCTTAATGTGTAATACTTATTTTCATCTTATTTGATTGGCATAAAGAGCAAAGATATTCCATCCTTCCATGTACTCTCCAAATACCTACGGGAGCTGGGGCTGTGCCTGGCAGGGGCCGGGAACACGGAACCCAATCCAGGTCTCTCATGGGACTGGCAAGGACTCAACAATTTGCGTCACCTCCTGTTGCCTCCCAAGGGTACACATCAACAGGAAGGCTGAACTGGAAGCACAGCCAAGGCTAGACCTTAGGCACTCCGACAGGGGATGCAGCCAGCCCAAGCAGCATCTTATGGGCTGAGCCAATCATCTCCTCCAGCACGTGTCTGAGGTCACTCATGCATGCATCCAGATTCATTCCTTTGTATAGCTGAATACTATTCCAGTTCAAGAATACACTGTATTTTGCTAATCCATTCATCCATTAAGGGTTGCTGAATGAAAGGGTAAATTCTGTCTTACTTATGGAGGAACCATCAAACTGTTCTCAACAGACGATTTTTTTTCACATTCCCACCAACAATATCCAAGGGTTCTAATTTCTTCACATCTTTGCCAATATTTGTCATGTTCTGGGTTTTTTTTGTTTTGTTTTGTTTGATTTTGGTTTGACCTTAAAACTAAGAGATTCCTAGCAAGTACGAAAAGGTAAAGTTACTCAGCTCCTCAAGTCCCGTCTGAGAGAAGCAGGACAGTGCACACAGAGGAGGTGAGCAGAATACGAAAAAACTGGTTAAGTCTAAAGGAGCAACACCATTACGAAGACAATGAGGGGGCCACCAAACAAAAATTATAAAGAACATCAACAATCAGGCTTATGGGGTAGTTGATGAAATCTGGAGAGCGATTAGCACAAAGGCCTGCAAAAGAAAGGACTGGCCACCCATGTTAGGCAGTACAAGAGGAGGCCTCCAAGGAACATGAGCATAAGAGCTCAAACTGAAAAACAGAAGGAGCACGAAAAACAGAAGGGCTTTCACACAGACACACAACTGAATAAAATGCTTCAGCAAACCTCAGACTGTGGGGCAGAATACACAGGCAAAGCCTTGCAGCCTGAATGACCAAACTATGTCACCCTCAGCCTACCTCTACCACTGTCTAAGTACAAGAAGGGTTAGAGATGCCATAATTTTTAGAAAAGAGGTGGAAAAAAGAGAAAAATATAGCATGAGATAAATCAGAAAGACGACCAGATCTTTTTGCAGGCAGGATGGGAACAGTGCTGCTGCTACTTTTGGTTAAAATCCAGGCCTAAAATGCCTAGTGAGGACACAGCACTCTGGAGAAAGCAATGTTTCTTCCCATTCCACTCTGATCCAATCTTCCTCGCTCTCCCATGCGGAAGCTCTATGAGCTAACAGTGAACTTGGGTGAGGATACAGACAAAATAACGGTGACATCCCAGGTAGTATTCAACTTCCAGTCTTGAAAATAAGGAAAAAGACAGAAAGGAAGAATGCGGAGAAGTCTAAGTACCTTTCTTGAACATTAGGCTTTTGTTTGCTGTTAGGGCCACAGCCTTAAACTTTCAGTAGAATCATTTAAAACTTGGACACCCAAAACAGCAAAATGAAGGATCCTCAAAACTACTCCCTGGTAACCGCCCAGAAGAGATCCAAGGATGCCCAAGATCCCCAAAGTAATTAGCCAGAGAGCTGGGCTGCTGGCCATTCTGCCTCTTGCTCCTTCCTCTACCCCAGATGGATACCCAACCCCAGAAACACACCCCACAATCAGACCTCAGCTTAACTCCTCACCCCAAACTGTACACATGAGTTATTGCATGATTTAAAAGTTTAGGGTTTTCCTTTTGTTAAACATAGAAGTCGGGCCCAGCATGATGGCTCAGTTAGGTAATCCTCCCTCTGCAAGTGTTGCGATTTTATAAGGGCACTGATTCCTATCCCAGCTGCTCCACTTCCCATCTAGTTCCTTGCTTGTAGCCTGAAAAAGCAGCAAAGGATGGCCTAAAACCTGGGGACCCTGCATCCACGTGGGAGACCTAGAAGAAGTTCCTGGCTCCTGGCTTTGGATTGGCTCAGATCCAGCCATTGGATATCCATTTGGGGAATGATCCAGCAGATCTTAGCTTCTCCTCTCAGTAAATCTGCTTTTCCAATAAAAATAAAATTATTCTTAAAAAAAAAGAAACTATAAAAGTAAAAGAGCAAGAAAAAAATGAGAGCATGGAGGTGAAGAGGAAAGAGAAGGAAAAGTGAATTGTCACATCATAGCTAACTTAAAACCTGATCCTTCTCACTTCAGTGACTTTCCTGCACAACAAGAAGTACGTGGGGTCAGTGCATTGGTTCACTTGTTAACCCTTCACTTCCAAGCACTGGTATCCATATGATTGCTAATTCATGTCCCTGGTGCTCCTTTCCCCATCTAGCTTTCTGCCTGTGGCCTGGGAAAGCAGTCAGGACAGCCCAAAGCCTTGGGACCCTGCACCCACATGGCAAACCCAAAGAGGCTCCTGGTTCCTGGCTTCTGATTGGCTCAGCTCCAGCTGTTGCAGCCTTTTGGGAAGTGAACCAGCAAATGGAAGAACTTTCCTTCTGTCTCTCCTTTACTCTGTAAAGATATGCCTTTCCAATGAAAATAAGCAAATCTTAAAAACAAACAAACAAACAAGGCGTAGGGTACAAATCTAGTCTTTCTTTCCTCCTCCCAG